GTCTGAAAGTCTGTGGTCAGACAGTTGCTGACCTTAGTGATATATAGAGCCCAGTACAGAGTTAGGTGGTCAGATTCTTCAACCTGTGTCCAGTCGTCTGGGGATTTGTTGACATATTATACGTCTCTGACTCCTGAATATTGAGCATTAATGTGTGTGCTTTCTCTCTCAGAAATCATTGTCAACATTTACCAAGGGGAGATAATCCACTACATTTACAAACATCTCTGTACTGTGAGCTACCATCCATCAGTCCCTCCCCCTAACAACTGTCACTATGGGGTGTATTAACAGATCATCATAAAGGATCAACACCACCTAGGATTTTCCCATAAATGTTTATTTTTATATCCTTTAATTCTATTTATAATACACTTTTTCATTGGTTAATTTGTTATAGTGATTCAGACAGAAAAGTGAAGAACATATTTTGATGTTGTCATTGAGTCACGTTAAGTTACTACATCTTTAGCAAAAATAGTTTATCTATTCTTCTATAGACTAATTTAATTTGTACTTTGGTTGTACCTTTTATCCATTGATACTCACAGACGAACATATTATCTAGTCCATTCCTTAATTGAGATGGTAACTTTAAATTCTTGTAAGAAATCTCTTATAAGATCCAAACTTCAATCCAGGAACACATTCAAACTGAGGAGCTATAATTAGACTGAAATATTCCTAAAAGGAGTAAAAATGTGAAAAAATCTGGGACGATTATCAGTGCGTATATGAATGCATGTGGAGCGTTACTGTTGACAGGAAATCTCAAATGTCCCTATACATGTATTGGTCACTATACATGTATTGGTCATTCGATTAAAATATTTCATCCAAACATTAATGGTAACAGGTCAATGTCAGAAATATGTACGAGTTTTTTTAGATAAATTTCTATCTTCATCACAGAAATATTTCTGATCACTTGCAATCCAATATCTTTACCACAAGATAAGAATTATTGCCAGGACATGTATAAGAACACACAGGTCCTGAGCTCCATGGAGACTGTATTATGTATTCTGTTATGTACTGTAATGTTCAGTGAGTATGGACTAGAAGTGTACTAATGTAATCTACAAGAGGATGACATATTTATTTAGGAGAGATAATCCTATAGAACAACAGATTCAGGAAGTGTTAGAATCTCTCCTATCCACTCCATGTGACCCAGGACAACTCAATGTGACCCATGTCATTCATGTCTCAGGTCACCAATGACAACCATGTCTCAAGGACACCTGGTTAGTAAACCAACCCATGGTTGCTGCTTCCTGTTATTGACCTGTGCCTTGTGGCCCACATCAACACCAAACAGTTACTCATGTTTATTTATAGATTAATACTCTCATTACATTTAATCAGCACACATAGAGTACTTTTTTAACACATATTTGCATTTGGATAGAGCTTTTCAAAAATCCGTTAATGCACTTAAGCAAGAAAGAAACATGGATTTCATTAAATCAGAATTTCAGCAGTGATTAGTTTATTAAACATTATCATATCAAACAAAAAGGAACAAGTTTGATTAATTCATCTTTTATCATGTTTGCATCACAAATTGATCACAGTTTGACTAGAAAATCTGATAGTTACTACATCAAAGGCAGCTCACCACATTATTTCCAGTACAATTTCTTAGTTTTGCTGAAGTATTTAATGAGATTGGATCTAAACCTATAAATACTTTTAATTAATTGAAACATCAAACACTTACCTATAATCTTCTTAATTGAAACTCTAAGGGAAAGCAGTGCTGTTTGCTTTGAAATTAACATCTATGTACATTACAAGCTTGACTTGACCAAAACATTCACAAATGTTGAGTTGAAAACTTATAGTTCAATTGATTTTATCTTCCTAATCAAACATTTTTAAGAAACAATTAATGTCTGAAGTACAATGTATATCTATAACATGTTATTGCACCAAGCTTCTAAAGCTGACTCAGAGGCGATAAATTATTTCAGCACTGTTTAAACTATACTGACTTACAATACCATGCTAAAAGTTTCTTTTCACTTCAATTTGTTTCAAATGAAAAGAACGGAACAATTTTAACTGAAAGATTGTTTTTCACAATAAATTGATACTGTAGATAATGGAGCACTAAACAATGATTTTGCTAATGTAAGTATATATATATATATATGTGTGTGCGTGTGTGTGTGTGGGTGTTTACAGTACCTATTAAATGTCTGGGTAATATTAACAACATTTATGATTCTTGTGTACAGAAATTGCTAGCTGAGCTGATAGAGACACTTCAGTGATGACCATAAATGGTCAGCCAGCATTGTGTGAGAGCTCAATCAGCCTGAATTTTAAACCCTCTTTTTCCTTTTATCTTTATTTATTGTTTCAGTTGTGTATTAAAAGTGCCACAGACTGTCCTAACTAAGGGAGATAGTCCAGGGCTGTGTCATAGACTGTCCTAACTAAGGGAGATTGTCCAGGGCTGTGTCATAGACTGTCCTTACTAAGGGAGATGGTCCAGGGCTGTGACATAGACTGTCCTAACCGAGGGAGATTGTCCAGGGCTGTGTCATAGACTGTCCTAACTAAGGGAGATTGTCCAGGGTTTTGTCAAGGACTGTCCTTACTGGGGCAGACTGTCAAGGGTTTTATCAAGGACTGTCCTAACTGAGGGAGATTGTCCAGGGCTGTGACATAGACTGTCCTAACTAAGGGAAATTGTCCAGGGCTGTGACATAGACTGTCCTAACTGGGGCAGATTGTCAAGGGTTCTGTCAAGGACTGTCCTAACTGGGGCAGATTGTCAAGGGTTTTGTCAAGGACTGTCCTAACTGAGGGAGATTATCCGGGGCTTCATCACAGACTGTCCTAACTGAGGAAGATTGTCCAGGGTTTCAGCCCAGACTGTCCTAACTGGTGGGATTATCCAGGGTTTCATCACATACTATACTTACTGGGGAGTTTATCCAGGGTTTCGTCACTGACTGTCCTTACTGGGGCAGATTGTCCAGGGCTTTAGTCACAGACTGTCCTAACTGGGGGAGATTGTCCAGGGTTTTGTCACAAACTTTCTTTACTGGGGGAGATTGTCTAGGGTTTCAGTCTTCCAACATGACAAACAACTTTCAGTGCAATGTAACTTGTTATAAATTAATTTAATCTGACTATATTGAGTGTCAGGCACCAAAGAGTAATTTCATCCAATGACCAATTCCCCACTCCCCACCATTCCTGAGTACACCACTGCTGAGCTCCATCAACAGTACTTCCACACTTCACTCCCATTCCCCACCCACATGAAATAAATCCTTAGATTTTAATAGACTACTCTCCATTTTGAATTTATCCTATTGTAAAACAGCAGTTCAGATATGGTCAATCAACGAGACTTTTTCGATTGATATGAAGTGTTCTTATTGAAGAGGTAGACAACCTGTATACTTATATAAATCCCAAGTTGGCACTGTGTACAGTGTTTGTCACAACTGTGTGTACAGCATTGAAATAATTCTCTACAACTTAATGCCTACTGTCAATCCTACTGGCTATATCTACTACAGAATGTTACATACCTGTTACAAGCCCATATACTACAGAATGTTACATACCTGTTACAAGCCCATATACTACAGAATGTACATTTACAAACCTGCTTTAATATTGTAATACTTTTTTCTTTGTATTATAGAATAAGTGATATGAATTTAGATTGGACTTTTTAAAGTCCCTTTGATTCACTTTAGAACTACCTTGTTAAGTCATGCGTTTACAATAGCACTTACAAATATTATGTGTAATGGGAGTCTCAGATAGAAGTGTTGGACACAAACCATTGTCAGTCATCATTACTTAATAAGTACTGTAAAATCCATGAAACCTGTGGAATTTTTGTACATGTATTTTCTTTCACAGGTGAAAAACAGTTTTGAACACCAACCATTGTCAGGCATATTACTTTATAAGCGCTGTAAAATACATGTAAATTGTAGAATTTTTAAATTATTTTCACAATTGAAAACAGTTTTGAACACCAACTAGTCCCAGTCACCACTACTGTATCCACATAGGTAAACTAGCTGTGGCATTTATATCGTTTTCACAGGTGAAAACTATGAGTGAAAATGAGTGGAAATTTCAGAAAACCTTTTTCTATTTGATGTAAAATAACATTCTCCATACTGATGAAATATACCTGGTAATCTAAAAATAGAAATTGATAAAGACCATGGCAAAAAATCAAATCAAAGGAATTGTTTTTAAGGTTTTCTAACAATTATTGTAAATTTTTACACGTTAAAGCTCAGGATGTCCATTTCAGTTATAAAGCAATACCTGGATGTACAGGTATGTTATATTATCACCATGTATGAATGTGTAACAGCTGATATATTGCTAATGAACATATACTTTATATTAGCATTTATTTGGTACTAGTTAGGGCTGATTAAACTATTTCTCAAAAAAACCAAAATGGGTTTTGTCATTAATCCTGATTTATAAACATATAAGAAAAACATTTTTTCTATATCAAGCAAACCATTCAGAAAAAAAATGAACTTCTGACTAAAACCAAGATGTGTTAATTACTGCACAAGCAACTTGAAATTTTATATACAATGCATGAAAAAATATAAGATATTGAATTGAAGTAAAAAAACCTATCTATCAGTATAACAGCTCAATATAGAGAACATGTACCTAGAATACTTATATTTGCTATACTAAAAATAAGAGTTATGCAAGAATGAATTGTTTGCTAACATTAGTAATAAATTGTAAAAAGCAAACTATACAGACTAGGAAATTAAGGTTGTATCCCTTTAAGCCAAGACAGTGGCACCAGGCACACTGGGTCTCAGGTAAGTTCTGTTGTATGTGCTGTGTATCAGAATGCACTGTGATATTTCTTGACCAGACATGCATTTATATATAATAACCTTGACCCTAAAATCAAGGATCAAGATAAAAATAAAAATAAATTATATATAGAACTAATGATGTAAAATCTACTGTTTTACCATTTAACTTGTCAACTTCTTCCTTTGGCAAGTGTCGCACTGCAAGTTTGGAAGAAAATCTATTAATATTGAATGGATCATTCATGATGTACATGTAATGTAATGCAACCTCCCAAAATAGTACCCAATCTACTCTGGTACCCTGTATTATACAATCCAGATCTTCAAATGGGAAAACCTGTGTTATCTGAACCAAACCTGTCTATTATGTACAGTAAAATAAGTCATTACAGTGATCAGTTTAGACAGACTTCACTGTCCCATCATCAGGTCAATGATTTCAGGAACTGAGGTCTGATTTTCCTTATGATACAAATTTCTCCCTGAATGTTCACAGTTGTACCTATGTATGCTGGGAATACTCCAATGTATTAAATGAGCTGAAGTGACCAGAAACCACTGTAGAATTCTGACCTTCGTGCAACACAGTGAATTGAATAATCATGATATCTAATCACATGTAAAATTGAGTCATATACTATTAACATCAAGGGAATAAACATCATTTATGCTTCAGAAATAGCTTTGTTCAAAGTTACCTGTATGCAAATTCATGAATTAATACTTCAAGCCCTATAATAACTTTCAAAATTATTACTGTCATATAATATTAAGCTAACAAAGCTTTATAAGATATGCTCTTTTGTCCTCTCCTGTGTTGGAGGAGGAGAAATTACCTGTACACAACAAGCTTGTCCCACACAACAAAAACCTTGTCACCACACACATCCTGTAAATATTGATTTCCATAAACGATCCAATATTACGCCTATTAATGACTTAACAAAATCAATGTTCCTCCAGAGAATGAATAGCAAAAATGGGAAAAACTAGGTCATTATATGGTGAAATGGTAATTCATTAATTTATCTATTCTTGATTACACTCTGGAAATCAATCAATGATCATAAGTCACCTGCGCAGCATGATCTTCCATCACCAGGAAATGGTAAATAAGACAGAAAAATATATATACAAGAAAAGATTTGTTTAAAAATATCCAAAATTGCATTGTAGTCAGTTATTGACAAATTGCTTTGTCTTTGAGTTAAATATGTATTTTAATTTAAATAAATATTTATTTTTCACCAAAAAAAGTGTTATTTTTTTTGTTCAGATATGAATATAGTCAAAGCTTAATATACATGTAACTGTAATCATTTAAACCAGAATCAGATTAATTCAGACATAAAAATCACATATTTACAGTAACTTACTTGAATTTGTACTACAATCACTGGTATTATGAACGTGTTACGGTACATTTTCAATGACATGAACCAGCACTAAGTCTGTACAACAAACACCTTTGTGGTTGTTCTATTATTGATTTACCTGTAATATTATTGAGTTCTGCAGGTAACAAACTAATTGGTCATAATTATATTACCAGACTTATATGATATGCCAGGAAGATATTCTTGTTTCAGACTGTTTGGAGTCAAGGATTTAAGTTGTTCAGTCAAATATAAATAAATTTCTGTCCGAATAGGTTTTCCCTACACTGGAATGTCTGTGATTGATTGCTCACCTGACACTGAACCTAGACTTGTAATAGAAAATCAGACTTGTTATCTCCCTTGAGTTGGGTTTGATACCAAAGCAAGATTATACTAAGCATCTGTATAAGGGATTTTTGGGGGTTTTGAAAATGGGACAAGAACCTGCCATGTTGTCATTTTGGAATACTCAACTGGGAAAAGCCAATTTAAAGGCTAAATATTCCATGAAGCGCATTGCGGTTATGATTCTTGCACAAATCAACTTTCTAACAAACACTAGGATCTTTTTATGGGAAAAATCAATAAATAAATATGTACTATCGCATGTTTATAGCTAAGCACATATAGAAAAAATGGAATTGTAATTAAAACACTTGACCATCACATGGTTATTTCCTACAGCTACCCTTGTATTGCTATCAGATCTTAATCAATACAGTTGGGTGTGTATATGTCACCCATTAAGGCATCAAGAATGCAGGTAAAATTTCAACACAGAAAGGCATATCAATAAGTTCAAGAAAAGGATAATATTACTTAAAATCTAATTAGAAATGAACCATATTTCAGTTTTTTCATTGTATCCTTGATAGCTATGTCAGTCTAGCCACTGTCCCAATAACTCTATATGTGCCAGTATATGCGACTCCATCCCGAGCTACAAGGTTAAGGTTGTCAACAGTATAATTAAATTTGATTGTAGTGTAACACATCAGAGTGATCACACTATTGTACACCTACTAGTATAGATAAAAGCTCCTTTATCTGATGCAATTTTTCATTCATTAAAGTAGAACAAAGAAATACAAAACAGAACCAGCCTGAATATAAATTGGATTCTGAATTAAGACATAGCCCCAAGTCAAAATGTAGTGGTGCTTAGCTACAGCAATACTTCATTGCCACATACTACATGATATTAATTATAATTATATGCTAATTTCCTGCTGTATAAAATAGTTAATTTTATTTCTACTATTTATATATTTTATCAGATCTAAAGCAGCTTTTCACCTCTGTTACTGACTATGCTGCAAGAAAGTTATTACAGATAATTTGTCTCGGGCATCCTGAAATCACATAATTAGTTAAACCAATTTTTCTCCATTAATCAGCATTCGTCTTTGTCATTTTGGAGAAAATGGTGGATAAATTCTCATGGATAATGTATTCAAAATGACCATAATATTGAGGGATGATAAAATTGTGGCATGTTGCATGAACCCCACCAAATTGGGGCCTTTGATGTTTCTTGAATGACTTTTGGGAATTGCTCCTGAAATGCAGTTTGATGAAAAGATAGGCCTCATTTCAACAAATAATTATATAAACTTATTTTACAAAAATTATGTAAGAAGTTTTATCAACTTTTATCAATAACTCATGTGGTAGTGTGCAGGGGATAGAAATTATGTGGGAGGAAACCGAGTAGCTAGAGAAAGCCACATGGTCACACATTTCAGACTATTTCAAATCGATCATGGAATTTAATCCTGCCATTTTGGTGAAAGGAGCAAGTGTGCTATCAACTGCACCACCCAACCACCTCATATAGATATAGATGTAACCTGCAAATTTGGATCAAAGAGGGATAGATATTGATTGTTCTCATTATCAAAATCTGTTTTCATACAGACATGTCAAAATTGTCTCAGTTCCTGCTCTATGCTACAAACTTTGGATATAGAAATGGAATTATCCTAGATTCTATATAATCAGTCTTGTTCATTATACAACTTATGTTTGAAGTGATTTCTTCACTCATTCAATTCAAGAGGCCTAAGTTATTATTCTGTTGCCAATAGATACTTGCTCAAATATTGACACTTTTATGTTACATGGGTTTTTAATTTTAACAATGATGCATGCAAGCCATCAGTATTTACTATAAACATATTATTGAGTTTGTAGAATTTCAAGAGTTCTTTGTGATTGAACAGACTCCCCTGGAGAGTGCTGGTTTCTCCATCTGACAGAGATGTTTTGTCGGGAGTTTAAAGTGTATATTGATCTGTTCTGTATTTTTCTAATGAATTTCCTTCTTTCCAGTAACTATCCAAGTTTATTCTTACAATTTTCTTGTAAAGAACTTGACACAAAAATTATGACTGAATGAAACAAAAAACATTTTTTCTATAAATTTTAGGTGCTATTAAGTGGCCTGATGAAAGTGTTAAAATCTAGAATTTCTTTCCAGATTTTTGTCAAGTTTAAAATTAAATACATATATCTATAAATAATCTGCATACTGTCATTACTCTTACATACTTTGCCCCTTGAGCTAGGATAGCTATTGAGTATAGGTTATTAAGAATAATTATGGCATATTCCAAATTGATAAAATATTGATTTGCATTTTTTCCTAGTGGCATGTAAACTTCCTTTGATCTGTGTTTGATTATTCATACATCAATACACCTTAACCCTCCACTAACTACTAGGTTATTCATAATATTCATATTTGTTAAATGCAAATGTCAATATTTGTATATTTGTGGAACACCTATCAATACCCATCCTGGTAGTAAATCACTCTATTGTAAGGGTACCCATTCTGTTGTTCAATTAAGTACAATAATCACTAAGAAAATGCAGGCAATAAAGACAGGTCTTCTTAAAGATGTATGCTACCTTATTGAGTCATATATCTCTGTTCTAAAAGAACTCCATTCCTATTAAGAAATATATATATAAATATCTCTACTGATCAATCTTAAGTTGATAATTGATTGATGAGCATTTGTATACATGACTGACTACATCGATGATTTCTGCATAAATATGAATTGTCCCAAGTTAGAAAATAAGGGGAGATAACTCAATCACACAAACTCTTAAAGGAGAATTATATAATTATCATGTACATTTACACATGTACAAAATGTTTCATTTTATATAATTTAGGAAATTACTCTTGGATACTTTGAGTTGATCCAGTATACTTGCATATAACAATGTCCAACAATTAGTCTTTACACTTCAAAGTACAAAATGTTGTTTTATTAGAGGCATACTTATTTAGCAGTTCACTGTAAACAGTTAATTCTTCTGATACCTGAGACATTATTGTATTATTTTGGGAAGAAACCTGAATACAGATTCTAACTGTATCATTCAAGGACAAGAGATATGTGATCTCCAAGGTGTGGCAGTTCAATATGTGGAGTGCCTGTGATTGACCAAAGGCTCTGAAAATATCATCAGTCATCTTCCACAATTTTCAGTCATCAATTTAATTAACAGCTGAGAATTCACTGTATGTATAAAACCTTTAACCTGATCACATACTACTTTTCTAATTGACACCAATGAAGTCTGGTTAGAAATGTTGATATTACCTACTTGAATGGTAAAGTGAGGTATTTGAAGCTATGATGGAGGGATGTAGCAAGTTACTGAGTCCCTGTATCCAGAACTATGATCTTAGGTGAAGCCAAGGTAAATTATAAGGTCTGCATGATCAAGGGGTACCTATCTTAATATCCTGAACCAATTACTTCATACTGACACCATTTTATTTGTGTGAACTTTTTGTAA